CATCTGAGTTGAGAGTGTTGTCCAGAGCGGTCATAATGGAGCACTCTGGGATAGCTCCCGGAGGCCAATACCATCGAATTGTGTCCACAGTACCCCAAATTCGAGCCGGCAACGTCGATTTAAGCGCTAATCCACTTGTCAGGGGTGGAGTAAGGAAATCGATTTTAAGAGCCCTTTAAGTCGAAATAAAGGGCTTCATTGTGTGGACGGGTGCAGGTTTACATCGATTTAACGCTGCTAAATTTGACCTAAAGTCCTAGTGTAGACCAGGGCTAAAACTGGCTCTACTAGTGGCTTTTGCCTGGTCACTTCACTGTCACTTTCAACTCAACTCTCTTCTCCTCCAATATCATATCCATTCCCAAATCCTGCATAATAATTACTACTGAAAATGTTACTTTCTTCTCCACCCCATCCCTATAATTCACTTATTCTTTGGTGATCTTTCACTTCTACCTGCTTCTCAGCTTCCTCTTCTCCAGTTTATTAAGATATTACTTCTAAAATTATCTTCTCCCACAACAAAGAACTTATCACTCCCTTATCAAATCTCTTCTGTGATTTTCCTTTTCCACACAAAATTTCCATTCTCAAACATCTGCACAACTCAAATCCTGCTTCTATCTCAGTTCTTATTTCCTTCTATTTTCCCTCACTTCTTTCTATCCATCCATGCCATCATCCTAACTGCTCTTTTTGTATCTTTGTTTACAGTGTGCCAAACTGCAGGCTCTTTGAGGAAGTCTTTTAATTTGTTTGTATAGTACCCATCACTAGGAGACCTGACCCTAAATAGGGCCTCTGGACTTGACTGCAATATGCCATAACAACTTAAATAACTTAAAACTTAAATAATGTAAGCATCTGAACTTGCTCTCTGAGTTAGGTGCCCAATTTGCATGTACGTATCAGGCTCTTATTTTTCAAAATTTAGCTTCTAATGTTTTGGTAGAAAGGGTGGATTTTTAGAGAAATGCCTGACAATATTACATTCAAAATCAGGAAGAGCCAGTCAATAAGGTAGGCTCCCTGGCATCGACTTTATAAGTATAGGCTGATTTTCAGTTAGAGACATATTATATAGAACTGCACGGGGAACTAAAAGATTACCTTCTGAAGAAACAAACATTAAGAAATCTCAGTTGTTAATACTAACTGCTACAAAAGAGAAACAAATAAAAATTATATCATAACTTTGACATTTGTGTAGGATACTTTAAACAGAATTAAGATAAACAAGATCAGAAAATAAAAACCAATGTAAAAGTAATAAATGTTGAAAATCATTTAGGTGAAATAAATATTTATAATTATGTATGTTTCTAATTATCTGGGGAAAAATCCTTCTCAGAGTCAAGTGGAGATATTTAGAAATCAGTACTAATATTAAAAGAATGCCAGGTATTGTGGAGTGGTAAATCTCACTTGTAAAAGCTTTTACGTTAATTCTGATGATTTAGAAATGGTGTCTGAACAGTTTATGAAAAAATGAAGCCTATTTCTTTTAGACTCAACTTTACTCCCACCCCAAAAGCAGGGGTGTCTTTGCCCTCCCTGTATTTCATTCAATATTTCTGACAATGGAAATTACAACACCTATTTTTATTATATATATATATATATATACACACACACACACACACACACACACAGAGTGATTGTCAGGAACCAGTGCACAGAGGGATTGCTATCCAACAAGTCTTTACAGAGGGAGTGGACTAAGACATTACAGGATTTGAACTGCACCCTCAATGATAATTTAAAAGAATGCTTCCCTGAAAGTGATGTGGTGGTGGGGTTTGGTTTGGTTTAGTATATAATGGTTGTTGTTTTGGCTTAAAATTACAGGGTTTTTTGGATAAATGAATTGTACATGACAATAATATTTTAAATTTCATATGTATATCCTTAAATTTACAACAATATATGAAGATACATCACAAGCATAATTGAGCTCTTTGCAGTAATTTCAAATGTATACTAGGACTGTAATTACTTAAGTTAGTTAACTTTGAATAGCATTCATTGGCTATGTCATTCATGACAGCCTCTTCCAAAAGTTAATGGTAAGTCAGAGAAGAGGAATGCTGATCATCTTTAAAATGAATAAGAAGATTCAAATCCAACTACTAGATAAATCTGATGTTATATAAACTGATGATGGGTATGTCTACACTGCAATAAAAGACTCACGGCATAGCCACAGCTGGCCTGGGTCAGCTGACTCAGGCTTGCAGGGCTCAGGCTGCAAGGCTACAGAACTACAGTATAGACCTTTGGGCTTGGAGAGCCCATGAGGGGTGAGAGTGGAGTGGGTCTCAGAGTTCAGGCTCCAGCTTGATCCTAAAGTCTACGCTGACACCCAAATCCTGCATCTTGGCAGGCGGGTAGACTAGATGACCTCTGTGGTTCCTTCTAACCCTATGATAATGACCAGGGCAGCATTTTTGGAATAATTTTTTTGAGCTTCAGGGTCAGCAGTACCTGGGATCATGTAGGGACTCTACTGGAAGGGTTTGACACTGTGAAATATACATTGGCAGGGGTAAGCAGTTATATTAAACTTGTGAAAGTGAAAGATGGATCAAGGAGGCCTTGGCGTAGCCAGTAGCCTACGGGAGGGTGGCAAGCCCATGCTCTGCCCAGAGGACACTTTGAGGGCATACATGGCAATAAGACGGGGGAGAGATGGGCCACCCTTTATTCAGTGTGACAGGAGTCCCCTCACAACATACCAGTTTGTTATGGTGTTGAGACAGGGACTGACGAGGCCGAGGTTTCCAGCTCATGAATTTGGCTCCCATTCATTCAGGTTTGGGGAGACAACAGCAGTGACACAGCTAGGTACGGAAGCTGGGCAATTCAGACAATTGGCTGTTGGCATTTGAAAGCATATAGAATGTATATGAGACCTCAGTGGAGAGTCAGCATCAATTTTTTGTTGTGTTCTTATTCCAGATGTGGGGAAAAGGGCCACGCAGATGATGGTGTGGATCTCTGGGCACAGTATTATTCACTGGGTGCATAAGTGGGCATTCAGGTTGCCTGAGGATTCACTGCTGGGGCTTAGTGATGAAGCAATCCCGAGCTGGCATAGAACAAGGGGCATGTTACAGAACCAGCTGGTGCCACTTGTATACACCGTGGGGGCTCATCAGTAGGCACCATATCAAATAGTGGTGCACCTTGGAGAAAATGATTTATGAATTTGTAAAGGGGTAGTCTTAATGCTCAGAGTTAAGAGGGACTTGAGGCAGATCCTGGAACTTTTTCCAGGAGTAAAAACTGTGTGGTGAAACATCCTTCAATGCAGGGTGTGTCAGGGAGCTGTGAAGGAGGTATATGAATAGGGACATGACCAAATTCATGGAGATCATAAGGGAGGTTGGTAATCTTGCATTCTGACATAGCATATGAGGCAACAGAATTATTCAGGGGGAATGAGGTTCACCTGTCAGACTTTGGCACAGACATTTTTGTCTGATATTAAAGAGGGCAGTGAGAGATGTCTGGGAACCCAGCTGGGGATGTGCGGGAGGCAGCCAAGCTAGTTGCTGGTGCCTCCTTGTGGTGGATGTCCAGTGCAGGTACTCTGAAGGGAGGGGACACAGAGATCACATGGATGGTTTGGTAAAGACTTTAAAGAAGGTGTTTGTTAAAGGAGTGGAATAGGGAGAGGTTCAGGGCACCTATGACTGGCAAGGCAGGAAGCCAAACACCCCCTCCTCTATAGCCCACCTTGATCCTCATTTGGGCTGGCTGGGGACCAGGATAGAAGTCGGGGGGGGCTGACGGAAGTCCCCAGGTAGATATTGAAATGATTATGGAGCTACCTGAACTGTACTCTTTAATCTGCTGGGTACTTCCGGACATCTAATAATAAAGTTGTGCCCTCATTAAGCCATAACCATTGTCTCCTGTCCTCCTCCTGATATAGTCAGACAACAAGGAGAATAATGTAAATGGGTATCATAGTAACAAGTTGTTGCAAGAAGAGGATGCAGAGTTTGAAAAGAGAATACTGAGTACTGATTGCTATCACAGAAATAATCTAAATTGTAATTCAAGAACAAACTCTTACAAGTAGCTACACAGCATAACAACAATGTATAAAGTTCTTGTCTGTCTACACAAAAGACTTTTTTCTTAGCAGCTGTACGTTGATGAGTCACTGTGCAATAATAATGAACAAAAAGTTCATCATCTTGAGAGACAAACTTGATCCTGTAACTGAAAAGGTAAGTTTTTTTTATAAAAAAATCTGAGAATTCTTTAGAAATATATTCATTCAACAATAGTGCAATCTGGCAAACAATAGATAACAGCATGATGGAATATCCACTGTAAGCCTTTATTTTCTACAGCTTTCAACTCCCTCAAGGTTGCAATGCAGAATACAGGTCACAGCACATGAACATACTTTTGTATACAAGATACAATCTGTTTACTTTTTTCAGATGTATAAGGCTGCTACAAAATAATGGGTGGTATGCATCATTACTCTGTAGGTCTAGCAGTCTTCTCAATGCTACTAATGGGATAGAGATCAAAGAAGATAGCCACAGGGACAGCAAGCCCTCTCCTCCACTTCCAGCCCAGTCTGGTGACCTCCCAATCTTGCCTCCAGGAAGCATTAACTTGGTGGAAGGTATCTATAGCCTGCACATGTGAAGCACATTAATTGAATATAGCAAAAGGTATTGCAAAATGTTGATGATGCTGTGCATGTTTCTTATGGCTGGCAGCATTTACTGAAGGGCAAAGGTGAGGGCTCGGATAGAAAGTGGGAGAGGATTGATGCTGCGAGCATAGGAGAGGGGAGTGAGACGAAGAAAGAAAAACCTAAGTTACTCATGAAACATTCACCATCAGGGGGAAAAAAGACCAAAATCACTGAAAACAGTATGTGCTGTGGATGGTAGCATAAAGTTTCACTATTAAGAGCAATAATTCTATTGTATTTCACTGTATTCAAGCATAATAAATTAAAATAAAAGTACCTTATAACACATGCGTAAAGACCACTGTCTTGCACCACTGTTGGCCGAAACCAAATAGAATCCTCTTCTTTACTCATTCTAGTTCCGTCAAAAGCTATAGGTTCCTCAAAATCTCCAGGTCCAGAGCTTTTGTACCACATCAAACTAAGGCCAGCACTTTGTGCTAGAGAGTAATTCGCTCTGATATAGCCATAAAATAATGCACATTTTATACGAACAGGCTCTCCCACTAGAACTTGATACTTCTTGTAATCCACCGACCAGTCAGTGCATCCATCAGCTAAAAGAAAAGAAAAAGAGAAATATATGTGTGTATATATAAATATATACGTATATATAAACAGAGGCTTCAGCCAACTGAATACAGTAGCAGCCTAATATCAGAGCTGCAGTTTAGAGTTACACAGCTGGCATAAAAACCACTCTATCTTACACCATTCCCATTGAACATCTAGCAGCACTATTAATTTTTAAGTACCATGCAAAATTTGCCTATTTTTTTTTCTTTTTTGCTATTAACACCATTTTTCTGTGGTGAAAAAGAGTTATCAGATGAATTGTGCAGAAAAGAGATATCAAATGAATCTATGGTAAATCTTGATAATTCCTATGATATATATGCAGTTATTCTTTTCCTCTATTGTGTAATTTTAAAGTGAATTATTATAAAATATTGGAATTAAATTAGTGTAACATGGTGGCTATCTGCCACAGAAGGTGTCATAATCAGTGAATTGCATTAATCAAATCCCGTCCAGGTAACAATATAAATGAAAGAAGGCAATTATTGAGTTTCAGATTATGTTAGGACAAGGACCAGTGGTCTGAAGCTAAGAAAGGAAAAGTTTAAGTTAGATCTTAGGGGGGGGGGAGTTCTTAATAGTATTGGTGTTTGTGCAGCAGGACAGAGTATTAGGAAAAATGATTCAAGGCATCCTCTCTTGATAAATGAAGGAACAGGTTAGATAAGATGTTACGAGGAATGCCTGAGCTTTCAGTGCTACAAAATGCTGGGGATGAGATAATATGATGTAAGTGTTTGGTATTTTACTGTTCCTGCTACCAGTAATTCTGTACTTCAGTTTTCCTAAGATGCTAAGCACAGACAAAACTCTCAGTCAAGGTTAATTCTATCCAATCATAACTGCAACATAGATGAACTAAGTAACTTCAGGACAGGATCTATCAATTAGATTTGCTCAAAAAAGAAGGGTTTTTGGTTTGTTTTTAACTTCATGGAAAATGTTGACTTTCTACCACAAAAACCCGCTCAAACATTAAAAAATGGTATTACAATAAAAAAAAATCAAGAACTTTTAAGGTGAGCAGACACTTGCAAATAAATGTTTACTCAAAAACCCAATTTTTGTCACAAAAAACGTCGTTAGAAAATTTACAACCAGCCTTACTATCTATTGCTATGTATTGTACAATGCCAGATTTTGGTGGTTTTTTTTTTAATTTGGGAGAAAAGCCTTTTAAAAAAATCATTTTTAAGAGTCCACAAATAAGTAATATAATATAAATATTTGTTATAAATGTATAGGAGTATATATTCTATATAGTCAAATGTTATGATGACATGAACATATAAAGTATGACATAGTAGTATAACTGCCACTCAACATTGTCAATATAGTACAGGACAATATTAGAATCAGGGTGTGTAAGGAATGGCCACCCATATAGTGAAATATTCCATATTGTTCATGGATTGATTAGTTTCCTTATTTAATTTTGGGGGAGGCCAGAGGGTGTTCCATTTTCAAATAACCCAAAGTGTCTGTCCCTTCCCCCCACCCAAAAAAAAAAAAAATCACCCCTGCGAGAGGCCTAGATCAGGCAAGATTCAGTATTGCAGAATAGATGAGCTTGCGATACATAAATGTATTTTTTTTAAAGTCCCATATCTTGGAAATCTGCAGGGCTAGGAATGGGAACTTTATACAATTTAGAAGGGACATATGCCCAGTTTTCCAGTGTTCAAATCTACTGATTTTAGAATGAATTTCCATTTCTGATTGTTCCAGCCTTTACGTTACTGAGCACCTTAAATCTGTCAGCTTGGAAACCCAGAAATAATCAGTAAATTAAAATGCATCTTTAAGAAATGTTAACTCCATTATACAAGTTATTAGGTAACAGCTTCTTCATGTTAGCTCATTATCAGCTTGTAATTTTGACCTTTACTATTTAATTTAGTTTGTATGCTTTTGGTTTATAATGCCACTTTATTAGCCTAGGTTTCTCTCTCAGGACCTTCAATTTTAATGCTGCCAGCTCCCTTGAACATGATGCATCCATGGAAACATACTATGAAAGAATACTGATTCCACTCCATATTTCTGTTTGTGTTGAATGGAGGATCAGCTATGCAGAGCACTTAACCTTGATTTATTTCAGTTTAGAATTCCCCATGGAAAAAATACCAAGACAATTCATGTATTTATGTCACTTGCAATCTAGTTTAGTGAGCTTAGACAAATGTGTTGGAAGACATAATACACTCATGTGCAAAAAGAAGAGAGAGAGTTAACTATTACGTGAATGAATGCTTTTAAAATTCAGGAGATGTATTAAATGAGTATGAAAAATAAATTGGCTGTACAAATATTCTACTTGGAATGAAGCTCAGTGAAACTATTACTACATATACAGAAATAATGATATTTCTATGACAACAAACACAATACCTGAAAAAGCTTAAATGCAGACAGTTTCTGTATTTTGCTCTATTGCTGTTTGCTGTAAAGCACAAATATTATTTAAGTACTTATTACTTACACTGTAATATAACTACAGATTTGTATTTGGTAGTTTTACTGTAATTTTGGAAATAACAGGAATAACCATGACTAGAGCATGTTACACCAATTTTATGAAGAGTGTACTGTTCCTAACTTCCTGTTAGTTTCTGGATTTGAATCAGCTTCTTGGTGTTGATCTCAGGTTTTATGTGGCTTGAGTTCTGGCTACTTGGTAAAATAGCTCTTTTTATATATATGTCACAACAACTGGGATTAGTTAGGATGCTTCTTCTGATTGTGCCTAGATTTGAACATCTGGCAGTTGGAGTCAGAGCTCCCAGCTTTGAGACTTATTTCCCCCATTGGTCTGAAATAGCCTGTCAGTTGAAATTCAGGGCACAATGTAAGACCCAGCTATTCCCTCGGGCTCTGAGAGTATAGCCAAATTCCACTTTGCCAGTTGTGGTGGGCAAAACTTGAAAATAAATCCTTAGAATTTCAGTGGAAATTTACAGTTGAAAATCCAGAATCAATCACATACTCCTACATGTTTTGGATCTTGGTTAGATCCAAAAAGAGAATGAGGAATACCTTCCAGTTTGGATGTAGCCAAACTCAACTCTCAGCTCTTCTCAAAATGTCTGCACTATCTAAGGCTAATTCCAATCTTAGTCCTAGCCCTGACTGAGCCTCAAGTCAAAACTCAGATGAGAAGGAATGTGGTCCAGAAGAAAAGGCATGGGACTGACAGGAACCTTAGGTTCTGCTCCTCTCTCTGGACAAGTCTTTTAAACTACCTGTTGCTCAGTTCCAATCTGTAAAATGGGATAATGATAGTTACCATTCTTTGTAAAAAGAGCTTTGAGATCTCTTGATCTATACATGCTAAAATTCATTGCCCACTTTACCAATAAACCAGATTTGGAATCAGATCACCACCTCATGCCATATTCAAAGGGAAGGAGCATTACTGAAAAATGTCTTGCCATTTCAGAATTTAAGCAGACAAAAAATGCTAAAATTTTAATTCCATTCAAAAACAGGCACTTTAGTGCATGGGTGATATCACCAGTTGGTTTATCATTTTCTCTTTCTTTCCTTGTTTTATTGGAAAATGCAACAATAAATTTGGACGCAAATTTGTCTATAAGATTTTGTGCTACACAGCTGAATAGTCCCACTTTGTACAAGGAAGAGATCCTAACTGAGTGAAGTTTAAGCCTGAAGGCATAGCATATTGCCTGCAAAGCAATTTTCAAAATGTAGCATTTTCCATAGTTTCCTGATGATTAACCATAATTCCCATCAACAAAAAACAAAGCAACTCTTCCTCATATTTCAAGTGGATAACAGGTTCACCACTAGAGGCAATATGTCAGAGTTTTGTTGTTGAACAGCATCATACAGTTAGTGGTTGCAGAAACACATTGCATATAACATACTGACACCAGAGGATTAGTATTTTTACAGCCAACAAAAAACACCAAGATTTTTCTTATGCATATTGATCCTTTCTGAGATCAATGAATTATTTATATTTTATCTTCCTCTATTGAAAAATGCTCTGCCTTGTCACTTGTCAGTTGAAGAACATAAGACAATTTTAGGGCTTGTCTTATTGGAAAAGCAACTGGAATAGTTCCCCATATGGACGCTTTTATTCTGAAATAAGAATGTCCACTCACAAACTATTCCAGCATAGCTATCACACTTTGAATTCATACCATACCTTAATCCAAAATAACTGTGAAGCATAGACAAGCCCTTAGGTTTCCAAAAACATTGTGTATATATCTATCCGCACATAGACACATTTAAATGCATCATGTCGAAGTGTAGCTTCTGAATTTATGTACTTGTAATACATAGATTGATTACCTGCGTGGTAACTCCTAAAGTAGTTGTCAAATGCTTATTATCAGAATATAATCCCTGAAAAAACTACATGCCAGTTCAGAGACAAAAAATGAACAAAGCACACACACTTGGATACATTTAAATATAACCACTACTATTCTCAACACAGGTAAAAGTAGCAAGACAACCCCCACTAATATTATCATGTCCCCTCATACACTCCACCTTTTTCCTATCAAAAAGTTCATACCAAAAAGATGTTTGGTTGTTTTAATAGATTTAGACTATAAGTAAATAATTTCTCAAACACATTAACTACCCAGGAAAATATGCATAATGGAATTAGAATTCACCCAGTTGTAAAATTCAGTTGGTTACTGGTAATGCATTAAGGTACAGAGCTGTAGAATCACGGTCAACACTAGGCTTAAGGAAATATATTTGTCCCTTTTTCATATGTGCTTTTAATGTGTGTGTGTGTGGGGGGGCTGGTCTGATTTTGTTCTTTCTTACACCAATTTTACACAAGTTTAACTCTTCCAACACTTCAAGTCAGTTGTAGCTGCATTAAGCTCATTTCAGCTGGGAGGGACTATAAATATGTTAACCATAAGATGTGGAATACCCCAGTCTCCTCAAGTGCAATACCAATAGGTCTGGATCCATGAGAAGGTGA